AAAACTTCCATGAGCATCATAAGCTATGTTGCAGCAGAAGCTCTCCTGCTGACAGTGCTGTGCACACAAACGCTCGTATCAATGTAACTTATGTTGTTTGGGGGGGTGCCGACATAGGCTGTAGTGTAGACACAGCCTTACTGTATTAGCCCTGCACAACCAAAATCCTTATCTGGACAAGAAAATGTAAAAATATCAACTTAAAAAAAATCACATTTCAGTTTGAATATTTTTTTAGTCTCCCTATTTCTTTAAGGCAGAGTGCTGCTTTGCACTTCTAAAATGTCTTTCAAAGAATATCAAAGCATTTTATAAACATTAAACTCCATAATTCCACACAGATATTAGTATTTTCTCCTCTAAAATGAAGATGTTGAGGGCAGAGTTAGCCTCTGAAAAATGGCATTGTGAGGTTCCATATTTATTGCATCCTAATGATTCCACATCAGATTTGCTCAGTCTAAAAGTAAAAAGATGTTTTTTTGTTTTTGTTTTGACAACACTGAAAACTCAACCTGGAATCTTAGAGCCTTGTACTTAGTCTTGAGCATCATCACTAGAAATAAAAGATTCAGTTGTAGTGCTGCTGATGTATACAAAATGATATAGAATCCAGCTTCCTGTCCCATAGCAATGTTTGCTCTACCAGTCTAGCCAGGATACAAAACAACATGTTTGTCATAACTTTTTTTTTATGACTGAATAGCTATGCAGGGAAACAGATGTCAAGAAACACAGCATTGTTTTTACTCAGTCTCTTCCTTGATCATAACCATACTGACTTGCTCAAAATCAGAGTGAATTAAAAGCAGAAGCAGGAGTAGTACTAAAAACATCGGTTCACAATTCCTTGATATAACAAATTAGACACACTCCCTAACTCACTTCCAGTAGTAAGGATTCACCTGTAATGTACTCTGATATGAAGTACAGTACGCTCCCCTTTATCCAAATGGCCTGGGGGACAGCCAAAACTTTCAGATAATCGGGCACTCACATAAACATGAGTACTACCAACCAATATAGGGTGACATGGGGGATGCACTCTGGGTTCAGATAACTAGGATTTTCAGATAAAAGGAATTAGGTTAACTGAAATTATACTGTACTGTAAGTGCTAGGTATTATTTTAAAATCATTTTATCTGACCTGCCTCCAAATCCTGATTGATGAACTATATATATGAACAATACGCTCTGGGCGGCGCCAGCCATGCCAGCAGATAAGCCCCAGCTGCGTTGGCCGGCAGGATCGGCCCCAGCTGCTTAATTGGTTAACCATTTAAATTACATATTTTTAATCGTTTGGTTCATTTTTAAAATGGTATTTACATGTCTAGTGTGAACCCTAAAGCCTGAAAGATAAGAAGGTAAATATAAAGAATCCAACTACGCTGTATTTCTTTTTAACGGGTGCTCAGTCAACTTGATGTTCATTTGAACAATTGTACTGCATAGTTCTGATTGATCACCGTTGAACTTACTTGAGTACGAGTAATTTTACCAGGTGTCCTGTATTCAGCATAGGGAAATATGGTCACCCTATATAAGTGACATTATAAAACTGTAGTTATCTTTTGAGTTTGTATATAGACAAGTTTTTTGAGGTGTTAAATCTGCTTGTCTGAACTGTATTTATCGAAGGATTTGCTTCATTTGGCAGTTACATCTTCAATGTAATGTGTCAGTATTGTTGTCCTGAATAGAGTGGGTTGCTAGCCACTATGAGCTCTTTCACAAAATTCTTGATGAATGTGTTATTTTCCTTTTGTACTTGTTGATAGCCCATGTGATCCTAATTCGTATAAAGACTTGTTAAGGATCATACATGAGCGTTAAGCCAGAAAACTAGAAGTTACTTGGTATGCCCAAGTATTGCATGTATTGCTGAACTGTGGTTGACTTACATTTCATATGTGCAATACTGAAATACAGTGCGGGTAAGATAAGGGTTAGTTTTCATTCTTACCCTTATGTTTTTTTGGCCTTCTTCTTAAACAAACACAAATAAAGGGAGAGAAATCGTATGCAGGTGTATGAGTTGATATCATGGATCCCTTGCTGTTAAAAGGTCTGATCTTGCAAACTTTTTTTGAGTAGTTTTATGGATTCTAGTGGGACCACTTGCAGGATAAGGGCCAGATTTTTACTTGATCTGTTCAGTTCTATATTGCTGGAATAAATGACGTGCATACCACAGTGCATTGCAGAAATCATGTTTCTCATGGCCAGAGACTTAAGGGTGGGTTTTCTTTTCTTTCTTTTTTTCCCTTTGGTTTTTTTACTCAATAGACCAGTGGTCCCAAGACTCTTTACCTCATGCCCCCCCTCCCCATAACTCCCCCTGAGCTGGGCTGGGAGTGGGGCCACGGCTGTTGGAGGGGGGAATGTGGAGGCTGGCACCCGGGACCCTGGACCAGGACTAGAACTGGGTGGTGCCTCCCCCGGTGGGAGCTGGCCCGGGCCCCAGCTGCACCCCCCGAATGTTCCGCCCCACAGTTCGGGGACCTCTGCAATAGACGGATTTATTTAGGAGCGTTTATGTTCTATGTAGTTTGGTCTTTGTAAACTATATTGAAAAATCTTTATAAAATGTATTTGTAAGGTGGAAACTGGTAACCATGGACAGTTACTAAAATTAAACAGTTTCTTTTTAGAGGCACTTGAATATGGTGATGGGCACTGTATAAAATTTTGTATTTAAAAGAGGTAATGATTTTGAGCGTCTTTTAGTTGCAGTTGTTAAAACTCATATTTCAGCAGGTGGATGGAGTGAATTTTGTGTTCCTGAACATAAAGATTTGCAATGAAAAAGTTAACAGTGGATCCATACCTAGGGCCCTACCAAATTCACGACCATGAAAAACGCGTCATGGACTGTGAAATCTGGTCTCCCGCCATGTAATCTGGTCTTTTGTGTGCTTTTTACCCTAAACCATACAGATTTCACGGGGAAGACCAGCATTTCTCAAATTGGGGGTCCTGACCCAAAAGGGAGTTGCGGGGGTGGGTGGGTCGCAAGGTTATTTTAGGGGAGCCAGGGTATTGCCACTCTTACTTCTGCGCTGCCTTCAGAGCTGGGTGGCTGGAGAATGGCAGCTCTTCAGTGCCCTGCCAGCAACAGCGCAGAAGTAAGGTTGGGAATACCATACCATGCTATCCTTACTTCTGCACTGGTGCTGGCAGCAGCTCTGCGATCAGCAGCTGCCACTCTCCAGCTGACCAGCTCTGAAAGAGCAAGGGTAGCAGTACTGCAAACCTTCTCCCACCCCCCAACTCATTTTTGGGTCAGGACCCCTATAATTACAACACTGTGAAATTTTAGATTTAAATACCTGAAATCATGAAATAGGATTTTTTTAAAAAAGGACATGACTGTGAAATTGACCACTGTCAAGGCTGAATCCCTAATCTGTCACTATGAGTGCAGAAAGTGCGGGCCCGCAAGGATTTTAAAAATTAATACTTGCCACTCCAGGCTTGTATTACACTCCCACAGTTACAGCTTTTCTCTGACCTTGGCTTGGTAAATGCTGCCACCACCCAAATGCAAACCTCCCCCTTTGAACCCAGGAAGGAACACTTGGGAATTCCTCCCTGTGGGGTACCCTCAAGCCCTTTCACACACCCCCGCCCCTGGGAAAGAGCTGAGAAAGAAAACAAAGGAAATTAGCTGTGGCTACCAGCTAATCAAACAACATGCACAAACCTCTTAGGACACCAAAAATCCAATCCTGTTCTTAAAGGTAAATTTTTATTAAAAACAAAAAGGAAAAAAATACACCTGGAACCTAGGCTTTTTGCTAGATCTTAAAAGAAACAATTACAAAAATTAAGCACCCAAAATAGTTTTTGTGGGGGTTCAGCTTAAAGGTTACAAGCAAACAAAAGCATCTGGGGTTAGCACAGAAGAGATCCACAAGCCAAAATAAGAAATAAACCTGATAGCATCTCACTAAACATTCCCTATCCAAATTATTTCTTCCAGGTATGGAAAATACTTTTTCATACCTGGTTCAAACCTTACGTAGCATTTCTGCTTATAGCATTACTGCTCCGTGTCCCTGCAGCCCAGAGAAGAACACTGACAAAGGGAAAGTTTCTTTCCCATTTTTAAAAGTTCTAGCCTTCCCATTGGCTCTTTTGGTCAGGTGCCTACTCCTTTTCTTTTACCTGTGGGCTTGTTAACCCTTTACAGGTAAAGCAAGCAGAGAACAGCTACCAAGTTTTACAGCAAGTTGTCTGGCTGGTTGTTCATCAAAGGGAGCTATCCCCCCACTTTATTTATCACAACCACAGTGGACCATGAATTTGGTAGGGCTCTACCCATAATCTATTGGTGTCCCTCAACAGTCCGCTGCAATTTGAGAAGTAAGAGTTTGTCTTTTCCTCTTGTTCTTTTGCTCCCTGGCTTGTCAGGATGGGAGAGCACCACGGGACTGCTGCGATTGATGTGGAGTACTTTCCTGCTAAATGTGGATTTTCCGACTAGCATAATTTTGGACGTTACTGGAGAATGCCACTATGGAACTGGTTTCATTCAGAAAGGGACTGTAATGACCATGCTGGAAGACTGCTTCCACATTTTACTTGTCAAGAATAATCCTCAATGTGTATGAGGTGGGTGGGCACAGAAAGGGAGAATGAAAATTGTTCTGAAGCTTCAAAGTTAAAGATTCTAAGCCAAATTCAGTGCTGGTGTAAAACTGTTCCATAGAATGGCGTCCATTTGTGTAACAGTTAAATGTTTAAATACAAAAATTCCAAGATATTCAAGTTGAGGCTGGTGTTGGTCGTGTTTTCTTTCTCCTCCTGTGCTATCATAAACATGGGTTAAGAATGCCACTCCATCTTTTTCTCTGGGTTTCTCTGGAAGTTTGATCTGGACTGATACCTTATGTTTAAACATACAGTAGTACTTAGTATTTTTCTTTTGGACTCTTACATTTAAAAAAAAAACTTAAAATTTTATCCTAGTAGATGATAAAACATATTTATCTATAAAGGTTCATAAATGCCAGTTCAGGATTGTTTGTTTTTTTCCATTAAATGAGACTTATTTTTCCAAGGAACTATATAGAGTTTGCTTACTGTTTATGTTAATGCAGTAGATTAAATGACATTAAGCGATTACATTACTAGATTACTCCTTTTTTTTTAAAAGATAGCTGAATATTGGAATGTATGTTTGAAACAGTTCAAGCCAAACTTACTTCAGGTTGAGGCCTTGTATAACTAGATCATGACTGAGGCCTTGACCCTGAAAAAGCTCTTGCGTGCTAAATTTACATACATGAATTATCCAATGAAGCCAGTGGAACTGTGTATTTATCAAGTATTTGCAGAACTCAAGGCTGAGTTTTCACTTTCTTGAGACTGGTGCTCATAAGAGATGTTATGGTACTGATAGATTGTTTATTATTCATGGTAGGTACTTTAAACAAGATAATTTTGTTTTCTTTACATATGTATCTTTACAGTTATAAACTCAATTAAATTCATGTAGTAAATCTATTTGAGTTAATTTTGGGAAATTGTTTGTTTTGATATGCATGATAAACTCCTCAGTTTGGCATTTCAAACTTAGATATATGTGGAGGAACAAAAATGTAAAAGTCATCATCTACTCTTTCTGCTGTCCGAAATAACTAAGTTTCATTTTGTTTATAATAGGTTATTTCCCTAGTACTACAATAGTAGGTTATTTTTCCTTGTATTTTCCTGATTCTCCTTTCAGATGCCTAGTGCATCTTATTGTGTTAACTTAGTCCCATTCTTCAAACTCTGTCTTACCTGAGAATAGTTCCTTTGATGTAATTGGAATTATTTCACTAAGCAAGAGTTTGCAGGATCAGGCCATTAGCTTCTATATGGTCTTACACAATAGTGGATTTTGAGGTGCACAGTGAGTTCATATATATCTTTAACTATTGCATGTTTATCTAGAAACGTTAGCAGACTTTTCTTCATAGAGTTCACATGATCAACACTAATATCTGACAATAGAATCTGATTTTGTATTTAAATATTTCTGTTCTTGAAGATGCCTGCTGCTTGTGATTCACTGCTTGAAGATATTGAGGATATTGTGTCAGCACAAGATGTGAAACCACATGACCGACAGTTTGCACGAAAGAATGTTGTTCCTAAAGTGCGAAAACGCAGTTCACAAAAAAATGTTCAGGCGGATGATGATCCACCAAGTGATAGGTAAGTTCTTCTTTCAAAAAAACCCTAGTATGTACACACTAACAGTTTTTTAAAATAAAATGGAATGTGGCATTGCCCCATAGCTTTTAAGTTGTCGTCAGATTTGGTTGTAATAAAAACTTTGCTGCTTTTGTTAAGCACACGGACAATTTGGGGCCCGAGTTTCAAAAATACTCAGTACTCCTTATTGTGGCCTAATTGCTAAAAAGCTCAGCAGCTCCCACTGAAATGCCTGAAAGAAGTGACCAGATTTACAAAATTGCCCAGCACCTTGTATTATTTTCAGAGACAGTTACTGGATACTGAGGAGTTTTGACAATTTGGACTTTTCATTTAGGATGCCTAAATGGGAGCTGAGCTCTTGAAAATCTAGCTCTTGGATTCTAGTGTCTTTGTGGGGTTTAGGGGTGGGGAAGTAGAATTTAAAATGTTAGAAGTGGTGACAGTTTACTGTTGAGTCTTTCAGATTACCTATTCAGTAATGGAAATAACTGACTGTTAAATGGCGTGGAAGAGTATCAGCATTAGATAACATAAAACTGAGATTCTGTAGAAAAAATGTTGGAAAGCTGATGCATCTATGCGTCCTCTTCCAAGAATAAAAAGAGAGAGTAGAAGTGGATCTTTGCCTTAAAGCATCCCTTCAAAGTAAATTTGAACTTGAATGTACGTTTTTAGAATGCGCTAAAAAGACTTCAAGATATTAGATCTGCCCCCTAGTCGCACTGCCAATTTTTGTGGTTATACATAGATTTCTTACTTTGTTGTTTTTCCCTGTTTCTTTTCTCTGTTACTACCTTGTGAAGCCCACGCAAATGATAGAAACTGAACATATGCAAAGTGCTATCAAATTCACTAAGTAAACAAGAAAGCAATCCATTTCCAGTCTTTAATTATTTAATCCTGGAATTCTCAGGAAACACCATTTTGGCTTTATGCTTTACAGTCTACTAAAGATCTGAATTTCATAAGCATAATAGCATTTTTTTTTAATCATGAAGTCTGTAGAGTTAGCCCCTTTCAAAGATAGATAAATATGTTCTTGATATGATGGAATCAGTATATTTGTTGCTGTATCAAGGATCTTCAGCTATCCCTATTTAGTAGTTCTCTCTCTGTTGGCCACTCATCATTACTGTGTGGTTTTCAGTGGTTTTTACTCTGGTAATTTATGTCCCTACAAAGGATGACCTTTTTGGAGCTTTATGTCTGGGATGTAGCCAGGGATGTTTAAGGACTACACGTGTGTGTTTGCTTTAATCCTAGGCCTTGTGTACACTACAAAGTTTTGTCAGGAAAAGCTGCCTTTTGTCTAAAAACAGTGGAAGTATACACTCTACAAAGTTACTTTTGGCTGCAAAACTCTGCTGTTTTGCCAAAAAAATAAAACCACCTCGATGATAGGCATAAAGCTTTTTGCAGCAAAGTTAAAGCTACAAGGTGTCAGTGTAGAGACACTACTGTTTGTTTGGGTGACATAACTGACTTCCACCAGTGTCCCACAATGCCTGCCCTGACTGTTCTGCTCAGTGTTTTGATCTCTGCTGCCCTGCAGGCATGTGCCCCTCCCCTTTCAAAGGTCCTGGAAGTATCTGACAGCTGAGCATGCTGCTCTGTTCTGGGAACAAAGAGCAAATCATTAACTGTGGAATGCTCCTGTTCTCCCCTGCACTAGGAACACAGTGGTAGGCAGACTTTTGCTGTGGGGAATGGGGGCGGGGGGCAGATTGCTGTGCTACTTTGACATTCCTCAGCATGGAGCACTGTGGGAGAACTCAGAGGGAATCAGGAACCATAGGCAGGCAGGCAGAGTGGGCTGCTTCTGCCAGGAGGGTAGGGAGAGACTGCTGTGCCGAGCAGATCCGGGGGCTGATGTGTGTGGGAGGTGTCCCCTTCCTCCTGCCTCAGGATAGGTTGGTCAGCCTGTTGTCTCCCTCTCCCTCCCCCCCACTTCAGTTGAAAAGCAGCTGACAAGCCCATGGAATGATGGGATTGAGAAACCTGCATCATGTGATGCTGCAACTGCCCCATGAGGCATTGCAAACCCTTTCCAAAGCATCCTGCAGCTAGTTGCACAGTAGGGGCTGGTCTACACTAGGAGGGGGGAAATCGATCTAAGATGCGCAACTTCAGCTACGAGAATAGCGTAGCTGAAGTTGACGTATCTTAGATCGATTTGCCACGGGTCCTCACGGCGCGGGATCGACGGCCATGGCTCCCCCTCGACTCTGCTTCCGCCTCTCCCTCTGGTGGAGTTCCGAAGTGGACGGGGAGCGCGTTTGGGGATCGATTTATCGCGTCTAGACGAGACACGATAAATCAATCCCCGATAGATCGATTACTATCCGCCGATCCGGCGGGTAGTGAAGACGTACCCTAAGAAAGCTATCACAGTGCGCTGCTCTCTGTATTGATGCAAGAGCTGCTAGTATGGATGCACTCTGCCGACACAAGGAGCATAGTGTGGACATGCAACAGCGGTTTTAATTAAAGCGCCATAACTTTTGCTGACAAAACTTTGTAGTATAGACAAGGCCCTACAAATTTTCTGCAAACAGGCAGAAATTCTTATCCATTGGTCATTTTTGACTACTCAGTGTCTCTTAGGACTTGTCTACGCTAACAGTGCTGTAGTGGTGCAGCTGCAGCGCTTAGTGAAGACACTACCTATGGGAGAGCTTCTCCCATTAGTGTAGGTACTCCATCTCCCCAAGAGGTGGAGAAGCCCACCTTCCTGAATGATGTATAGTATTGCCTCGGAGTTACGAACACCTTGGGAATGGAGGTTGTTTGTAACTGAAATGTTCATAACTCTGAACAAAACGTTATGGTGGTTCTTTTCAAAAAGCTCATCACTGCCTGTACCTATTTCATGGATAGATGACTTATTTTTAGTCCTGTCAATCTGGTACTGTGTATGAACATAGAGATTTCAATCTTTAAAATTTTTTTTTTTAAGGTTTTTGATTCCATATAGCTACAGAGTATAGTCTTCTCTTTCCATATATCCTCTCTATTTTGAAGATATCATTTCTTTCTTACCTTCCCTGTCCCCCCACCCCCCACTAAAATACTGAATCTTTTCTTCCTTCTCCACCTCATTGAGGCTGGGTGGAGTCATTTAACATTCCAATGTATAGGGACCAAAACCTTTTGTTCCTGAGTGCCTGAAATGACTTCATGTTTTATTTTGTTTTTATCTTTAACTTGCTTTCCTGATTCTGTTCATTCAACAGCATTATTCCCGGTGCACAAAAAATCTGGATACGCACATGGGGATGTTCTCATAATAATTCAGATGGAGAATATATGGCTGGACAGTTGGCTTCTTATGGGTACAAAATTACAGGTAATGATCTCAGTCAAGCTGCTTTCAGGTTTTTTGCTGATTTGTTTAAATATTTAGATTGAACCAATCTAGTCTTTTTAAATTAGATTTTACTACACCCCCTTTAATCTCTGCATGTTAGCAGGCTTGTTTAGCATTAGTAAACTGTATTTGGAAGTCCATTCAGTGATGTGAGCCATATTTGTGGGCCTCATAGAATTGTAGGACAGCAAGGGACTGGAAGAGGTCATCTAGTCCAGTCCCCTGCATCTTTTGAGGCAGTTCTGATCTATTATGTCAGATTGCTGTTTGTATGTGATGAGTCCTGCTAAAAGTTACTGAATTGAAGTTAAAATAGATTTTGGTGCAGATCCAGTAGTTAATTTTTAAATCTCAGTGTCTTGGGGATTTTTAAATCTCTACTTTAGTTAAAACTGGAACCAAATCTTATGTCAGTAAAATTCTGTGTTTTTCTTATATAACTACAAGCAAATTCATTTCTGTAGTCTTCAGATATATTAAAAAAAAATAATTGAGATTTTATATGACAGATTTTAACCTGAACTTTTAAACCTGCTTTTTGAGGATGGACTTTACAGTAGAAACACAAAAAAATCTGAACTGCCTGTTGAGTTTTAGGAGACCTGCAGACTGCATGTTATTTTTAATGCAACTGAGATCTAATTGGCCAAACAAAGATTTGGTGTGCTCAGCAGCAACTGGGAACACTAATTTGAAGCCTGTCTTTTTTTCTTTATGGACTGGCAGATTCTGGTCATGGTACAGAAGCAGCACACTTGTCCTTCAGGGCAAGAACACCATGTGTTGTTATAAAATAGTGATCCCTCCTGAAAGGAGAGTCCTGTTCATTACCCTCCCCTGGAAAAAAATGGTGATCACGGATGGGAAGAAAAGAGAGAGAGAGACTTTTCCTCTGACCAAATGAAATGGTAGTTCTGAAAGTGAATGGCTTCAGAACAATTATGATTGGCTTATAGGGTAACATCTAACAGATAACATCAAATTCTACGATAATCGTGTGGGTTTGATTTACTTCCAGTGGCTTCTGGTAGAGTAAGGTTGTTTTTTTGTTTTTGTTTTTTGTTTTGTTTTTTTGTTTTTATTATCTTTGTTAAGCAGAACCTAACCATTGGTCTAAACATAAGGAAATGTACTGTCATTGGAACACGTGGGTGAGGAGTGACCTGGAGGGAATGTCTTTTGTCACGTAACGACTTGTCTGTCAGACTTTGGAGCAGAGTTGACCGTCTTTGATGGGCACCATGTCAAGCTCTTTATTTCTGGAGGGGTAACGATTGTGATATGGAGGGGTTGGGGCAGGATCCTCTGGATTCCAAGGGATATAAGACCCTACCTACTCTTGCTTCCCCTCTGAACAGGACTGTTTTTAAAGTTCTCATCTGTTTGCCCTCCTCTCCTTTGCCACAAACAAGCAGTACAACATGCCTAATGCAGTGCTGAAAAGATCACTTAAGAAAACTGAAAATATCTGTAACATATTGAAATTAAAACTAGAGCTCTTAACTAGTCAAAGTTCAGAATGAAGGACATAATGCAAAATAATAGCCAATGAGTTAAATTTTCATAAACACAGTTCCCCAGGTGATTGCTTCAGCATATATCTGGATACTTTAAAGCATTTATGCCTAAGGTTAGGTGCTCAGATACTACAGTAATGTGTGATATAAAAACCTATATAGAATAGAGTAGGAGCATGTCTTAAGGGATGTTAAATGATGTGTGAACTTTCCCCACTCTGCTGTAGGCTCTGAAACTTAGTGACTTAGCGAAGACTATTCAAACATAGTTCTAGTTAGGAAGATACTAATGTTTTCCCTACCTTTCGTAGATTGCGACTTTTTTTTTCAAAACTGAGTTAAATCTTGTTTACATAGGCTGTACAGTGTTTCCCATCTAGCCAATGTGAAGTGGATCCAATTGTTCAAAAATGTGATTTAGCTCAGACAGAGCCTGGGTTGTTCATTTGTTGTCATGAATCTGCGCTCCAAGGAAAGTGTGTGCAGTTTTGGAGTGTTGGAGAGAGATATTGGGCAGTAAGAGGTGTCCATCATTATATTTTCTAGTGTACGTTGTATGGATTGGATTAAAGAACATATCTCACAAACAATATATGCTTCATGTAGCACCAAGCTCTAACTAGCCATTGGAGATTGGTGCCAGCTGATTCCAGGGCCTACTGTTAGAAGCAGATCTGGACAAAAATATTTTTAAATGTGCTCTAAAAGTGGCCACGTTTAAAACATTTTTGACAAAATGTATTTTTATCAAAATATGCTGTTTTGTGAAAGCTGGGAAGGTTTCTGGGGTCCAGGGCAGACTGTGGTCATTTCTGACAAGCGAAAGAGCGAGAGATGTGAAAACAGTCATTTCGAGACAACTTCATTTCATGGAAATGTTTGAAAGGTGTGTGTGTGTGTGTGTGTGTGTGTGTGTGTGTGTAGT